CTGTTGACTAGAATTTGTAGACCTCTTGTCAGCAATCTGCCAGCAGCTTAGAGCAATAGAATTTGGCTTTTTTCCATTTTGTTAAATCTTATTAGTGTTCATCCTTTAGAATATTTGGGGGATGTTTATGCAATGTGTTTCTTTTAATGAATTTTATATTTTCAGACTATACTAAATGCTTTGAGAATTGAATTTCCACTATAATACGTAAATCTTAATAAAGTATAATGAAGGTCTTTAATTTTAGTAAGAGTGATAATGGACCATGATTATAGCCTAGTGGCTAATGATATTGACTTAATAGGATTTTTTTTTCAGTGTTGTAAAGGAGAATGTGTTCTTTCCATGTGTATGTTATAGAATTGGACTAGATGAAGGCAGTTTGATGAGTATTGAGAAGAAATACTTTTTTTTTGAGGTATAGTTGATGTACAGTATTACATAAGTTTCATGTGTATAACAAAGTGACTCAATTTTTAAAGGTTATGTTCTATTTATAGTTATTATAAGAGAATTACTTACTTTGAACTAAACTCAATGAGCTTTTAATGAGGTGTTATTCTGTTATATGGCCTTTTAGGAGACTGTATAAGGGGACTTTATTGTTTCAGGGACTGCGTAGGTTAATTGCTTGAAACTCGAAGTAAGAAAAAAAATTTTGAGTTCCAGTTCTGTTTTTGCTTTCTTAAAGGAAAAAATGAGATTGAGATGATGTAGGTAAAGCTTTTAACACTGTTTCTAGCATATGGTAAGTGCTCTTTAAATGTCTATTATTTGTTATTGTCTTTTTGTTAGGGTTTCAGCTCCTCGGTCATGTAGCCCTTGAGCTTTTCCTTTGATGGTAATAAATAGGAGATAAAACTGACTCTTTAAATAATAGTTCTAGAAAGACTGGTAATTCAGTGAGTCCTTGTCTTCCAAGAATGTGGACATATATTCTAAGTTGTCCTGAAATAGTGGTAGTAATTAGCACCATTTTTTTTTCAATGGTTTGTAAAACAGGGCCTGGCTGCATCTAGATGATCACAGAATAATATTTTTCTATTATTATGTCTTGAAAAATACACCATCTTCTAAAATTGTCTGCAAAAATTAAGATCCATTTTTTTAAGTGGTTGAAACAGTAAAACTTGTAGCTTCCTCCTAGTCTAGCCTAAAGGATCTGTATGTGGTTTGCTGTTCACCTTTACAAACCAAATATTTCCAAATTATATTATTTTGTACAAGGCCAGCTAAACCTTATTTTGACTTTGAAGGCATGTTGAGGTCAGTGATGTTTAATTTGGTGCATTGTTCACTGGTGAAATGGAGTTGCAAATTGTTCTGACACTTCATGAGATGTTAAATGAATTATTTAGTGTTAAGTAAAGAACTCTGCTAAATTATTTTAAACTATTCAGGTTAAAGTATTTTAAGATTAAGTTCTTTTAAAATATGTTATATTTTCAGTCCATAGATTAAACCTTTTGAGTTTTGAATCATAACATATCCTCTTTTAATTAAAACCAAACCCTTGGAGTTGACTTTTTAAATGTACAATAAGAAGGTTAAATTTTTATGTGAGCGCTTTATTTTTAAGAAGTTAATTCAGTGTTTTCCTTTATATATTTAAAAGATTAAATACTTTGATGGTAAAAATGGCACGACACTCTGTGGATGATGAAGTTGTGTTAGACTTGAAAGTATTCCACATGAACCTGAATCAAGATGCAGCGGCTGAAAATAAACTCTAGTATAAGAATGTGACAAGAATAAGCTACCGTTTATAAAAACGCACTTAACCTAAACAAACTGAAACTCCAAGGAATTTTCAAATTGTGAAATAACGGGAACAATCATTTAACGTGGAAGGAAGAAGTTAGCACATACCTCCCTCCCTGAAAGTCTCATAAGATCAAATTATGGGGTGAGATGATTAAAACAGGAAAGGTAATTTATTGGCAGCATAACAGATAGATTACCGTTTAGAGGCCAAACCCCTGAGAACTGATTATATTAAGGGGATGGGACTAAGGTTAGAACACAGACAGCTGTTCAGAAACAGACTGCCACTTAATTATGGTTTGGTTTTGTTTTTTCTCAAGGAGTTAAACATGCTTAGTTCTAACTCTTTGTAAACGTTCCTGTATCTGTCTTCAATCACTTTTTTCTGTCTAAAGTTTTATTGAGACATCCTCTCAGCCTGGAGGAGTCATTTCCATCCAGTCTATTTTGCCTCACCTCTTACAAGCATGAACTGTGCTGTTGCAGTTAACCGTCAAGATTAACACCTTGGAGTTAATCTTTACTTCATAGCGGCATGCAGTCAGTTGTCATACCAACCCCCTGTCCCTGTTCAGTCCTGAAGATAATTATAGATGAGCATTTGGTTAAAGCAAGTCTTTTTCTTCACTGAGTCAGAGATAGGCACCCAGTAAACACTTGCTAGATGATTGCCAGTAGGAGACTCCTTCTAAAGCCTGGTCATAGCACAGCTGCAGCTCAGTGCCGCCGTGGAGGACGGTGGAATAAGCTGAGAGAGAAGCAGGGCCTAGACTCCAAGGGACATGCAGTCATGAGAAGGAACTTGTGGGTCACCCAAGAACAGCTAAGAGGCCATTGAAGGAGTCTTAGTCCAAGTCCATCTTTAGGTGGAAATCTCCTCTATCTAGACCTCTAGCTAGTGCTTTCTTTGTGATTCATAGAAAGTATATTTGGCACATGAAAAACGAAGTAACAAAGTACTTACGATTGATGGTTACATATGCAATAGGTTCCTAAAGATATTTCTAGAGTACTTTTTTTACACCTCATAAAATAATGATTTTATGTATTAAAAGGATACATATGGATTTATAAATGGAAGAATTAAAATAAATATGTTTCAATACAGAAATGACTATATTGAATTTGGGGATCATAGTAAAAACAAAACATAGTGTTTATAGCTTTCAAATTAAAAAAGCAGTTGGTAGATGTCTTCTGAGGAATTTGGCATTATATACCTGAAATTAGGCAGAAATAAACAGAGAAATAACTTCATCCAAGGAATTAAGTAATAAGAATGTTATGAAAAGAGATACTTTTTATATTGCAAGTTGTTGCCTTTGAAGAAATTTTAAATGAAAATTATTTTTAGTTCCTATTCTGTTGAACCAAAGAATTTAAAGTAGTATGTGATGTTCAGCATGTATTACTTGTAAATGACCAACACGTTTAAGGCTTTCAAACTAACCTTTCAGGAAACAATATTCCATTTTCCTTTAAGAATAATTCCTTTTCTGATTATGAAAGTGCTTATTGCAGAAAATTTTTAAAACGAATTTTAAATGCATTCATTCTGATCTCTTTCTTACCATCTTTCATGTTAGTTCCAGTTTCTTTTTTTAAAAAAAAAAAAACCTTCTCTATGTGTATGTATCAATTAGGCAGTTTTCTAACATGGTTCTCAATTTCTTTGCTGTGACTATTGCATCCCACTAGTTCCTTTGGGTTCATTTTACTTCTTGCTGAAATAAATCCTTGAGTAGTTCTCTCAGTGAGGATCTGTGAATGATAAACTTTGTTTTTGTACAAAAATACTTTTATTTCACTCTTACTCTTTAATTATAATTTAGCTAGACATGGTTGGCAATTTTTTTCCTGTAGTGCTTTAAATATATTCTTGTATTCTGATATCTTGCTGATGAGAAGTCTAAAGGTACAGTGATACCTTTTGTCGTTTAAAGGTACTCACTTTGGAAAGCTACACCTTTTTCCCTGTTAAAATATTTTTTAGATTTATTCTGCTCATATACCAAAAGAATTAATCTAATTTTTAAAATAAGAAGTAAATGGTTGAATGTGAGTCACTGAATATGGTAATATTTAGTCCTAAACAAAATCTCCTAAGATTGCTCTTTGAATATATAGGTACTAGTTAAATATTATGTTTTATAATATACTATATACATAGTATCATATATTTATTTTATGGCTCTTTTTCCAAAAGTGATAGTTTTAGTTATATTTCAATTTAGATGGGTGGAGTCCTACAATAGTTCCAGACCAGTGCTGTCCAAAAGAAATTTCTGTAATGGTGGAAATGTTCTTAATCTGCCCTGCCAGGTAAAGCAGCTACTGACCAGTAGATCCTACATGCTGATATGTCATCTTTTTTTTTAATTGAAGTATAGTTGATTTATAATATTGTACAATATTGTGTTACTTTCAGATGTACAGCAAACTGATTTAGTTATATATATGTGTGTGTGTGTGTGTGTGTATGTATTCTTTTTTTATTCTTTTTCAGTATAGTTTATTACAAGATAGTGAATATAGTTCCCTGTGCTATATAGTAAATCCTTGTTGTTTACCTGTTTTATATATGATAGTGTGCCTCTGTTAATCCCATTGCCCAATTTATCCCTTCCCCCTTCCCCTTCCCCTTTGGGAACCATAAGATTGTTTTATCTGTCTGCGAGTCTCTTTCTGTTTTGTAAATAAGTTCATTTGTATCGTATTTTTTAGATTCCACGTGTAAGTGATATTATATATTCTCTTTCTCTGTCTGACTTACTTCACTTAGTACGATCATCTCTAAGTCCACTGATGTGTCTTTTTATCTGCTTTTATCTCTTATCAGATGAACAGAGGTTTTGAATTAATACCTGAATTAATTGGTTAGTTTTAGACCATATAATTTAAGATGTTTCATTTTACATGCAGATCTTTTTTTCCAGAAATGTAAAGCTAATTAATAACTTTGTTTTAAAAGTTAAGGTTTGACTGTACAGTATAGGATTAGAAGGAAGTTGTAGAACTATAATGAGATAGTTTGTATGTTTAACTTACGGTCTGGTTTCTACATTACAGTCATATAAAGAGAGTGTGTTTTTGAAGTATTAAGGCTGGTATATCTTCTGAGGTTACTTTTTTGTATATTAAGTATTAGTTCTTGAGTAAGACGAATTAGAGGAACAGCTCTTCAGGTATCACTCTAATATACAAGTAAGTTTGTTAATAATGCCTCTGTTTTTCAGATTACAAATAGAAGAATCTTCCAAGCCTGTAAGGCTATCACAACAACTGGACAAAGTTGTAACAACCAATTACAAACCTGTTGCTAATCATCAATACAATGTAAGTCTTCATGTCTTTCTTCATTCTGTCCTGTCTTAAATATCATAGACTCTTAGGTTTTGAAAGGACCTCAGTAGTCACACACCTTGCTTCAGGTGCGTGAATTATCCAGACTTAGTGAGGAATATAACAGTTTGCCAAGTATATAGATGGTGTTCACTCTGAGTCCTAAGTAATACAGTGAGAAGGCGGCAACCATCAAACAATTCTTGATAAGCTTTTCAAAGAAATAAAACCACTTTTCAATATTTCTAGTATTTTAAATTAGTAAATATTAGCTTTATTATTTTTTCTATTCTTGTGTAACTGAGGGTTTTTATTGTTTTAACAAAAAAATGTAAAGGTCATGAAACAATGGGAATTTTCCTATCAGTTATTAAGATTGCTTTGCATAGTTTCAGCTTTCACAGGCATTTTTACAGCCTCACACTACCATGCCAAGTGAGAACTACCTGTTTATATATATATTTAAATCTTTTTTATTGAATTATATCTTATATATACTGTAAGAGTATATTCTGTGTGTGTGTGCATGTATGTATATATATATGTGTATATATATATATATATACAGATTTACAGTACATGCATGTATTATATACATATTATGTGTACTTTGTGCCAGGCACTGTTCTAACTACTGTAACTACTACTGTTACCCTTATTTTACAGATGCAGTCACTGAGGCACAGAGAGGTTAGCTTACTTGAGGTCACATAGCCAGTAATTAACCAGTATAGTTGTTGAACCAGGCAGTCTGATTTAGGAGCCTTGCTTTTTTTTTTTAATTGAAGTATAGTTGATTTACAGTATTTTGTTTCAGATGTACAGCAAAATGATTCGGATTTTTTTTTTCAGTTCTTTTCCATATTAGGTCATTTTAAGTTATCAGATGTAGTTTCCTACATCTTATTGTTTTTCTATTTTATGTGTGGTAATGTGCATCTGTTAATTCCATACTCCTGATTTATCCCTCCTCCACCCACTTCCCCTTCAGTAACCATAAATTTGTTTTTCACTTCTGTGAGTAGGAGCCTTACTCTCAATGATCCATGACACAGAATAGTATCTGCCAAACAAACTGCTTTATGATATTTGAGTTTCTTGTGGTTATTTTATGTGAGAGGTAGCAAATGCAAATACCTGCAGGGCCAAGCAGGCATCTTCCTGAGCAGAATATTGAAATTTAAGAAGATAAATTGTAGGGACTTTTATGAACTGGAGTCCACGTGCCCCTTCTAAAGACATTCAAATTTTAAAATTCCTACACTGTGTGGATTAAGTCAAAGAAGTCAAAATTCAGCTTATCTGCCCAGGCTTCCGTTTTATAGCCTCTGGTTATGCTTCAGGGGAAAAGTAAACTAAAAAAGAGGACAGGCAAGATCTAAGTGGGGCAAATTTAAGTATCAGATAATCCAAGAGAGACATTTTTGTGTTGTCTGTTGATTTTTTTTTTTTACATTTTTATTGATTCATAATCATTTTACAGTGTTGTGTCAAATTCCAGTGTTCAGTGTTGTCTGTTGATTGAGACAAGTAGATGAAGTCTACTTCTTTGTCCCCTTCTGTTCTAGTCTTTTCTACTCTTAGATGAGCATGCATAGAGCTTTCTGGAGCCAGATGGAGATAAAGAAGTAAAATGGGATACATCTTAAATGTCTTGGCCTTTCTTATCATCGATATGCTTCTCCTGTAGCCCCTGAGTATGCTTTTTTCTCCACTTATGGGCCAGGCTTCTGTATACAGTTTCTACTCTTGTGTACGTTTTTATTGCAGTGAGGGTAAGACAGACCACACTTTCTATAGGCTATAAAAAGGTATAACCTTTTTGGAAAGAAGTTTGGTAATTTGTGTCAAAAGCACTATAAACGGCTATATCCTTTGGTCTAGCAGTCTTATATCTAAGAATTTATTATAGTAAGACAAATGCCCAAGATGATACACAGTAGTGTTTCTCTCTATTGTTTAAGATAGGAAAAGATCAGAAACAAAATATCCAAAAATTAGGTTTAGTTCAGTACTTAAACAGTTGTTGTTTTTTTTGATGGTAGGTGCAAGAACCTAATTTTTTTTCTTTATGAGATCGTTTTCAGTTGTTGGAATTGTCACCATGAGCATGTATTGTCTGAACTGTTACAGTGGGCAGTAAAACTTTCCTGTTGGAATGGGAAAGGGACAAAGCTAGGGAAGAGTGTTAGTGCTTAGCCACAACAGTGTCCTACCACAGTTATCTAAGCTGTGTCTTCTCTCAACAAAAAAAATTTTTTAATGCCTTCTTTGTGCCTGAGGTACCTACTCTTGGTGAACCAAATAGATAAAATGTTTGTCTTCAATAAGCTGTCACTTCTTTCTATGTCTCTGGTCATGCCTTTTCAGATCCCCCATTGGGATATAATCTATCGCTGTTTCATTTGACCAAGTGGATCTATATTTGTATATTATAATTGTTGTTTCCTAAATTCCACTTCAAGGGTCACTCTTGTTAAACTGCCACAAACCATCATTTCTGAGTCAAAAGAAAAATCTCTCTTTGGTCAGTCAAAGCTAGCACTTTTGCTGGTATCAAAGCTCAGACCTCTATCTAATTCATATGCAGAGTGACATTGACACTACATCGACGTGGCAGGTATAGAAGATAGATTCTAAATGTCGTATTTTTAGAATAGCTTTCTTTGTTCTCTTTTTACTACTAAAATAAATACAAATACATTGTATTCTGAACTCCTTGTTAGGATATAAAGCTATCATATCCACTTTCAAGACTCTTTTTAACATTAAGTGACATTTCAGTTCATGGTTTCAACCTTTGTTAAGTTTGTCATAGTGTGAATGAGTCATTAATATTAATGTAATTATAGTCATGAGTCATATAGTAATCTTTGATTAACAAAGGTTGACTGTAATCCACCACATCACATTATTTGAATGTTTAATGATTTTCCCCCCATGAGAGTGTATCAAAATGGGTGGAGGCACCTGCATAGCTTTTAAAAGCATATTTAGTATTATAATACCAACTGTAGGAAGAGTATAAAACTTTTGTTATTGTTGTCAGACAGGGACGTTTATTTTTAAAAGATTGAGAAACATCAACATAGTTCATTCAACAAGAATGATTTAGAGGTTTTGTAATCAAGATGTTCAATAAAAAATTTTAAACTCGATATAATGTTGAAATATTTTCAAAGTTTCGCCAGGTGGAGCTATATAAACATGAAGCCCCGTATTTCATTTTTTAACAATTGAGATTCTTTGAATGCAATTTTCAGGATAAAAATAAGGAAAAATATTTTGTACGAAACATAAAAGGGGAGTTGGAAAATAGTGTCTGTATTTGTAAAACAATATCCATACATTTGATCAAAAAGAAACCACTTAAAAAAAAAAAACTGTGTTTACCCCCAGAAACTTTTTCACTCACCTATGGCACCTAGATAAATTGGCGTATAGTATATATGATCATCTCCAAATATTTGAACTCCCACATTGTACATGGAGCTTTTCTAAACATTAAATTCAAATTTACCTCTTTGGTTCACAAACTGGGATATAATACCTACCATTTTTGCCATTCAGAAAGCATTTTTGGGGACAAAAAGAAATATACAATTAGCATCATCTCTTAGAATACTCTTTCCTTGAAAGCTTGGCCATGAAAACTCACCCCGGACTAGGCTGTGACCTGTCAGGTTTCTCCCTTCGTGGCCTTTCCTCTGGCTTAGATCATCATTAAGTTTGTGAAACATGAACCAGTTCGTGTAGGTTAACATCTTCCAGAGAAGTTTTTTTGAAACACGAATTTTGTGAGAATCTCCCTGAAAAAAAGAGTTATTTAAGAAGAATTGTGTGTTAAAAGAACATGTAAATTCTGATTATATCCCCTTCAAAATTGGCACTGCATTTAATATACTTAAGTTGGGAACCTCTTGGAATTTGTTTAATCCTGCATTTTGCAAACATTTGAGCATTAAATTCCCCTTCCCCATTCCTTGAGGTAGTAAAAACAAATTATGGAAAGTAATGGTTGTCACAGTAGGGCCCATTGAGGGGGGAAATGATATAGGAACTCATATTTTTCTTGGGTTTTGCCTAACAAAAATATTGAGCTTTAGAAATATTTACTATGGGGATTGAACCTGGCACCCTTATGCAGTCCCTGTGCTGGTTAGTCATGTTTCATTAGAAGAGTAGAAACTGTACAACACAGAGAGGTTGGCAGCAGTGCTTTATTTGTTTTCAGCTTTTTTAGGTTTGGTGTTAAATTCAAGGATTTACAGATTATAGTATCTGTTGTTAACTCAATCTCAAAAAATGAATAAATGGCCTTAAAAGATTCCTGCAAAGAAACTGTAGATTCGAGATAATACTACAATAAAGCAGACAAGTGAACAAGGAAGGGGGAACACTGAAACTTCTAAAATCATCTGTTTATCAGTCCCTTTGTGAGGTAGAAACAGTGATGATGTGCTCAGACCAGGCGAGAACTTGACCCTTCCAGAAAGGAAATTATCACTATCATTTTAAATATGGCTTGTGATACCCTGTCTTTCATGATGATACTTAGAATCTATCATGGAATCAGAAACAATGCCAGATGTTTCAAGCAGAAAGGGACTTAAAGTAGGGAATTGGTTACAGATCGTGGACAAATACAAAATGGAAGGGCTGGGGTTGCAAAAAGCAAGAAGAGGGTTGGTTACCAGAGATGAGGAAGCTGGTGCTGCCTGGGGGCTTCCACAGCACAACAGAAAAGCTCTCCCTTCCTCCTGCTTCCCTTCTCCCATTGGCAGAGCCCCAGCTGGAAACAGGCTGGCAGGTGCATTGGAGAAGTGTGGCCTACAGGCCCCCTGCTGCCACCACCACAGCCAAGGCCAGGAGCTGAAGGCTTGTTGAAAATCAGTTGACACAAATAACCCTTGACCTTTGTGTTGTACCTTATGTTGTATTAGCGTTTGCTGATTCAAAGCTATCACAGTTTGCAATTCAGTTAAAACCGAAGCATTCAGAACATGAAGACAAAATTAAATTAAAACTTACTCTTAAAATAATGTTTTATTTTTATTTCATCTCCTTAAATTTTTTTGTGTATGCTTTATAAAAATCTCCATGCATATTAATGCACTCTTTTATTTTTATAACTTACAATAGATACTCATAGAGTTCATGCTTTAAATTTTTTGCTGGTAGAGTTGTATAATCAAAATATAGAGTCAGCTGACATATAAGATTCCTTTCGACTCCCTCTATCTCAGATTGCAAGTAAGGGTGCTTCTGTATGTATGTTCTGGTTGGCTTTGTGGACAGCATCATCTAGCCTGAATAAATGTCACAGCATTCTTATACGTAGTCCCCAGTCAAATGGCCTTTCTCATAAGGAATCCCTTTTCTTATAAGGAATTGTGTCCTCTGTTTTCTAGATAGTGGTTCTCAACACTGGCTGTACACTAGAATCACCTGGGAAGAAAAATAGCTCCAGATATTAATTGTATTGATCTAATGTAGACGCCAACTAAAGGTTTTTTAAGTTCCCTAAGTAATTCTAACATTCAGTCACTGATCCAAGGAGACAGGAATTTTTTATAGCTCTGCCTGCCATCGCCTATTGGAATTGGGAGCAAAAATGATCCCTGGGAGGAGACCAGGAAGTCTCTTTCCACTAAATCTAAAATTATTAAAAAGAATTAGTATCTTCTTGTCTTTGTTATCATCCTCTGCTCCACCAGCTTGGAAAAAATTTTCTCTTTCCCTTTCTTCCTGGCAATAGCTCTTGGTCTGAAAGTGATAGAGAACTAGAAAAACTGAACTAGAAAATAATTCTTGGCAGAAATAGAAGTGCTACATAAAAGCTTGAGGTAAACTCCCAGAAACTAAAAAGAAAATTTTCTCTATGTATATACTCTTTCCTTCTGTGTGGCAACTGTGTTACTCCTCTTCTTAAAGTTGTTGGGGTTTTGTTGTTGTTGTTATTGTTGTGGGGTTTTTTGTTTGTTTTTGGGGGAGTGTTTGGTGTGGTATTATTTTTTTTAGGTATATGTATAAATTTGGCATTTTGCTGATTAAAATGGTTGCCTGCAGGACTGTATCTAAAGGCTTTTGGGCAATATTTGCCTACTATATTATATAGTATAAGAATACAACATGCTTTGTCCATTTGAATTTATACACTAAGGACTGATCAACTCTAAAGAATTAATTTCCTCCCGAAAGATAAGGACACATGAGGCAGAAATAGAGGCATTGGGGGTAGGGGAATCTTTCATAAGGATTTAAAATGCAAACCATGATATTCAAGGCTGTCGTGCTCACTTCTAACGTTAAAATAAAAGCCTCCACAAAGACTGCCTTGACAGAGCAATCAAAGTATTTCTGCAAACAACAATCTAGAAATTTACAGACATCTGTATTATAATATTTTAATTGGCAGTGGGTGGCATTTATAATTTTAGTCAGTGATTAGTGTTTCAGTAATGACAGTTGAATACCGTGTCTATACCACATCCACAATGGATTTCCAACATTTAATTGCATTTTAGTCTAGAATAATTTGTTTTCTGCTTTGAAAGTAAAATTGTATATGATGGATTTTTTTGGATTGTAAGAGTTTGTAACTGGAGACTAAATTTAAAGTTCTTTCTGAATTGACATTTATTTCTGTGCAGCTGGTTATGCAATAGTCTGTGGTCATTGGGGGCAAATATAAGAGCAGTAATTAAAATGTGTATAATGTAAAAGCTATTTCTAGTCTAATAGCTATCCCTGTAATATTTTGTGGTGGCTGCTAACGAGTGAGGTATCTGACTGCTTTGAGCGTCATTTCCTTATAATGCCAGTGCAAAACAAAATGCCCAAAGGGAAAAGAGCTAAAATGAGAAGAAATAATTATCTCAGAACAATAGTCTTCTCCCCAACAGGCTAGTTCTTATCATTTGTACTTTATTTGTAGAATTAATTTTACTTGTAATACAGAGTTGTAAATACAATATTAAGATTACCATTTCTACACTGTTTGGCTTGAAAAAGAAAAGTTACTTCAGGGACCTTAGTTTTGTCAAAATAAAGTGTTTGTGAAAAAAAAATTGAAAGCTTAATCAAGTGACATGAACGCATATAAGTTGCATGTTTTCAGGAAAGAAGGTAACCTGGCAAATGTACACGTCTCTGGATGCTAACACTAGGAGAGTTTATACATTCTCTTCGTGCCACTGCTTTCTTCATTTTATGGAAGAAACAAGTTCAAGGAGGTCACCTGAAGAGAAAAGGCCTCCTGTCACTGCCAATGTTCTTAACTTTTTACGAATGCTTCCCAAACTTTTCATTCCTAGAGAACCTATTCTGTGATCTGCCTGCCCTTAGCCCTCTTCCTGCCCTGGAAAACTCTAGTTTTAAAAGATGTTACCTACCAAACTGTATTTTGGGTATTTAGAGGTTTGAAATTTGCGAATTTTAACCACTATCTGTAAAAATAGGTAATAAAAAGTTTCTTCTGTATAGCACAGGGAACTATATTCAATCTATTGTAATAACCTTTAAGGAAAAAATATGAAAATGAATATATGTACGTATATGCATGACTGGTACATTGTGCTGTATACCAGAAACTGACACATTGTAACTGACTGAACTTTAATTTTAAAAAAAGAAGATTTCCTTAAAAAAAAAAACCCAAAAAACAAAGAACTGCAAGTTAGGCTTTCTGATCAACATGAACTAACCATTAGCCAGGCTGAATTGATGCAATTTCAGAAAGGAAATGTTTTTTAGGGGGAAATGGGTAATGAAAGTGGTTTACAGATTGGCGTTAATACCTACTTGGAGGCTTAAAGGTCTGAGGAGCCCTGGGAGCGTTGAGGACCCCAGGTTCTGAACAACTGTTCTTTGACCTGTTGTCTTGCAAAACTTAAAATCTGATAGTCATGTGGAGGACAGCAAAGAGAGTGCCTATGTTTCAGAGTGATCATGTTAAATTGATTCCTTCTTTTTTTTTTTTTTTTTTTTGCTGTTTGCACGTAGATTGAATATGAAAGGAAAAAGAAAGAAGATGGAAAACGAGCTCGAGCCGATAAACAACATGTTTTAGACATGCTCTTTTCGGCTTTTGAGAAACATCAGTATTACAATCTTAAGGACTTGGTGGACATCACAAAACAGCCTGTGGTATGTATATGCTCACATCAATCCTTTAAGTGTCCTGCTTAATAACACGGCTTTACTGAAGAGAAGTATATCGTAAATGATTACGTTCACTTGCACCTATGCTGATGTCAGGTTTTATTTCAGCACAGAAAAGATGTCTTAATTTTCTTTTTTCTTTTCCCTCCTTTCTTCTTTTTTTTGTAACCTTGGCTTCATTGTTTAAATTTTAAATACATTTAATGTCAATAGTTCCATATGAAGAAAAAGTGGATTTATCCTCCTTTTGACTGATCCTTCACACTAAGCCTGAAGTCTCTTTGTTTGTATCATTTCTAGTCTTTCTTTTGTTCCCCTACCCCCTCCAAAAAAACTCAACTTTTTTTTTTTTTTTTTGAAACTGCTTCATAGAATCACATTCTTTTAAGGGTCATACTGGTGGTCTTGTGATGAGTGCTTTTCTTGTGAACTGTTCTCTATTGGTTTTTTTTTTTTTAAAGATTCTGTCCAGCACTAACATTAGGTCCTTTTCAACTTGTTCCTGCCTCACAGTGCTTGTTGAGATTGTGTTTGGGTTGGCCTAGTCTCCATTTTTAAGGAAAAATTTAATAAATTGATGTCTTAGAGAGTTGTTTTGTTCTGTCAGTGATTATTTTTTTATCACTTCTCCAGACTTTGGTGCCTGTTTGCTAATAACTTGTGTTTCTAATCCATTTTAAATGCTGGTAACAAGTAAGGGGTCTAAATGGTTTATCCAGCCTTTGAGTCTCACTTCCTTACACTTAACTTTCTCACACCTAAGGCTAGCAAGTATCCAATGGAATTATAACAGTATTTTACTTACAGATTTTTAAAAATTAAATGGAAACCCCTTTATTTTCTGTCCTCTTGCCCAGTTTCCTTTATCACTTTGTCCACTTTGCCAAGATACTCAAAATACATTCATTCCAACTCCTCCTAATCTACTTGCTTCAGAATATGTATCAAGATAACCAGTTTTGTAAAATATTTTAACATAATTAAATTACTCTTTATTAAAGGACTTGCTGTATTTCCTTCTAATTTATTCAAAGCTTTAGGAAATGATTTCTGAAACTTCAGTATTGATGGTACAGGTTCCCGCTTCTGTAGAGATTTCTTTGCTGTTAAACTTCATCTTTTCACTTTTTCATTAAGAAAGAAATTTGAATTCCAAAAGATCTAAATACTTTTTATTTTTTTACCAGAGAAGAGGAAAGTGCCCATGTGGCAGTATTATCAACTCATCTTAACGACTTCACTCCATTCAGCATCAAAGCCTTAGAAACAGCATTCCAGGCTAGATAAGAAATTTGAAATGGAATAATTCATAAGCTAAGCTCTGTTTCTTCTGGTTTTAATGACGTTTCTCTTTTTATTTTATATATACATGAAAAGGCCATTCCAGAAATTCTGAATACAAACAATATAAACTCATAGGATAACAAACACACAAAATTAGATAGGGGAAAATAAATGTTTGTAGAGAGATATTCAGATAATACTAGAGAAAGCAGTTCCTTTGCCTTAACATGGAATGACATTGTTTTTAAAGTTCATTCATTTTGCATCAAAGAAAAGGGATAACTAGTATTTCTCTCAAACTGGGTTCTTCAGATAAGTTGTATGTGGTGGAACTCAATGAATCTCTTACAGGGCTTCTTAATTCATGGTCAGTAGATGGGCTTTAGGAGATACACTAATCTCCTGAAGATGTGCAGAATTGTGTGGATTTTTCCAGGGAACAGATTTATAGTTTATTTCAGATTCTCATAGACAAGCCTGGGAACCTCAAAGAGCTTGAGAACACTGATACAGACACTAAATTATTTTATAATAGCTTTATTATTTAGGGACTAAATTGCCTCAGCAAGCATAAGGCTTTTGAAGGCAGGTTTGTATATTACTTATATCCCTAAATAGTCATATGTTCCATAGCACAAACATAGTAGGAAGTCAGTAAATATTAAATGAACTGATTTGAGAAAAAGGAAATGGTCACATCCTCCATATTTAAGGATGACCATATTTTCCTCAGATGGATTTTGATAGGCCTCATGTCGTTTATGGCAGGAGTCGGGTACAAAGAGCTAGCCTCAAGGAAGCATGAAATACCAGAGCCAGTTATCCTTGCCTAGAAAAGAGGGCAGGAAGGGGTCAGCATGGATCCCCATGTTGCCATTTATCTCAGTGGGATCCAGAGAAGTTGCTTCCATCCCTAAAATTGAAAGAGTTGCACTGGATAATTGTTGTGATCCCTTCCAGCTCTTAATCTGTGATCCTCCCCCTCTTCTATTTCACCTCCTCCTCTCCACCTCCCACTCACATTTGAATTGAACTGGCAAAGCCCGTTGACCTAGAAAGAAAGTGTCTAGAGCCCAGCTCTTCTCCATGTAGGAAACTATTATCCCCTTTAAAAGGTTCACAGTTTATAAGCCAGTCTGTACTAATGGTCATCATTATATTCTTACTAATTTGATCTTAGTCTAAGCAATACCAAGAGAATGAGGGGACCCATTGTAGCGTGAAGATGAGTGATCCAGGAAAGATGCCTCCTGGTGTGATAGAAAAAGCATGGAGTTAGGAGTAATAGGATCCCAGTTCAAGTCCCAACCCTGCCATTTGGCTGAATAGTCCTAGACAGGGTACTTAAATACATTTAATGTTTAATACATTATTTATTTAATATTTAATGTACTTAACATATGACACATGATATAAAATTTACCTATATGTTCAAATTAAATGTTTATAATAATATACTTTGTAAATATGTTTAAAATACCTAGTTTATAGGATCCTTATAATAGCTAATGTTTATGAAAGATACGTTGTCAACTGCAAAGTATTTTATGAGCCCTGTGTAGTATGAGAGAAAAGAGACTTTAATCAGTTCTTTAGTATATGAATTTAATGACATTCTCTCATCTTCTGATGGCCCCCAATACCACTTTTGATAACAAGTTTCTAACCATGAAGTGTGTCACTTTAACACATCCTCTTTGTTATTAACACTACTACTGTATTCTTAAGTTACCATCTGCTTTCTGACCTTTAGAATGTCATTTTTGACATTCTGAATGTATCTAAAGTATTTTCTTGTTTTTCCAGTCCCTTCCCTCCTTTGTTCTTCTTCCTAAAAACCTTCACTTCTACAAGCAAAATTATTGATTAGAGAAAATGCTCTTAGGGCCAGTCTTTTCTGTCATTCTCCAGTATGTGACTTGCATAAGCAGTCAGAGTTAAAGTTACTCATTAAGGGCAAATAAGCCAATTTTAAAAGGCCAAGATCTGGTAACTGATATAAAGTCAGAAACATGGTGTGCATTTAAAGGAGTGTTTTTATGGAGTTTAAATTTTGGGTTTTTTTCCCCTCTAAAGTGAAATATCAGAGGAAGCCTATTATTTCTCTCCTGACAGCCTTTGCTCTTTGTTTGTCTAGACTTTCTTCGTATTTTTTTTAATATCTGTAAAATAAAAACATAACAGCATTTCCTTCAGAAACACAGACCATTAGAAACTTTATGTAATTGCTCCTTTGAAACACCAAACTGCCAAGACTTTGACTTTGAGCCCTAGCACACTGTTTTCTAACCCAGCACCCATTTACCAGTGCTTCTTCAAACATACATTTCTGTTAAAAGTGTTATCAAAAATCAGCTCTGATTATAACTGAACCTCTTCTCTTCATTTCCTTGTGCTCTAAATCCACTTAATTTCAGGTCAAGATTCAAGGAAATGTATCTTTGATTACTGATGACTCCTTCTAAATCAGCAGTCCCCAATCATGTCAATCTAGTGGATCATTTAGTTTTTAATTCAGAATGTATAATTGAACAGTTTGCATGCTTTTATAGAGTAAGTTCACATCAACTGGAAAAACTAGGCACAGATTTACATGGCTTTGATATTGAAGCAGTTTGATGTCCATACTTCAAGTTCCCCAGCACTAGATAATGCTCAGCCAGCCGTTGCTTATTTGCAAAGTAGCTTAGGCTTTGCAAATAAAGCTGATGCAGCAGTAAGGTGATCTTAGCCTGATCTTAAGGGTTTGTTTCTAGACAGGCCTAAATAAAGGCTTGATAGAAATAATTTAAGTGAAACTTGGCATCAGTAAGCTATAAGAAGATAGGCTTTTTTAAAGGAGAAAATGGCTAGAGAACTTGATACACTGAGCATTTCTCCTGACAGAAGATAAAATTTTATTTACAAGTGTTTGCTCTCACAGATCTGTGAATTGGGTGGAACTCTTTCAGGTGCGAGAAATAGAAACTCTGTTCTTAAACAAAAATAGTATTTATTGGCTCTTGTAGTTGGGAAGTTCAGGAATGCACCTTGCTTTAGACATGCTACTAGTATTATTTAGTTAGAAATGTCCCTTCCTTCCCTCATCATTCTGTCTTTCTTGTGTGTTGTCTTTAAGAATATCTTGTGTAGTAGTCAGAATGGCCTCCCGAAGCACCTCACAGCTAGCAACTTTGAAGCAAAAAGAGAGTATCTGTCTTGGTTATTCCAGTAAAAGCCCAGGGAAGACTGGTGGTATGCCCATTTCTGAGCCAAGAAGACAGGGTAAGGGCAGTCTACCAGCCAGGCCCACTGCCTCTCCCATACTTGTGCCACACTGCCTGGTACAGAAGTAGCACCTGCTCAGTGTTAACCATTTTACTGCTATCACAAATTTAGGCTGTTGAAAACAGAACTCTTGATTTCTACGCCCCTCCAAAACCTCCCTGAGATTTCTCCATTTCAGTAAGTGACACCACCATGCCCCAGGCTGCTCAAGCCACACACCTATGCTCCTGTTTTCTCTTCATGGTATTTACATATATTACACATTATGATACACGTGTAGCATATTTATCTATTACAGATCTCTGACTCGGGATCTTAGAGGTAAAAGCAATCTTAGAGATTATCTAGTCTAAGTTACAGTCCCAGGGAAGGGAGTTGCCTAGTGGGTTGAACCCACCTCTTACCACATTGCCTCTTCTTTCAGACACACGTAT